GAAAACTTTAAAAAAAAAAAAAAAAAAAAAAAAAAAAAAAAAAAAAAAAGAATATAAAAAAAAACCGGAAGATGATTGTCGTCGTCGTCGTCGTCGCTGCTCACGTGCACCTTACTCATGCATGAGATGCCGCTTTTCCCTTGAGGATGGGGGCCGATATCGCGCTTCCTATTATCTAGGTACTACTAGACTCTACCTTAGTAATATTTTTTTTTGCCAACGCAGCAGACAGAGACAGATAGATAGATGGAACCAAGGAGACAAGGTTACCTGTTTGTCTTTGTTTTTCTTTTTTTTTGTTTTCTTTTCGGTTTTTGGTTTTTCCCCCTTTCTTTTCTTTTTTCTTTTTCCTTCCATCTTTTCTGTTTCAATTCGAGCTGACGCAGCCTCCTATTACACACAATACTTCCGCCTCGCATTTCTCAGAATCTCGAATACAACCGATATAAGTAGTATAAGCAGCAAGGCAGCAAAACAGCAACCTATAGACAGCCTATAATTCATTCTTATATTTCCTCCCTTTACCCGCCGGGTTGATATATATGTCTCTCTCTCTCCTTCTCTCGGCTTAGCTAATACTCCTACGTTACTCGGGTAGAGAGTAGGGGTCTCGCTTATAGAGTACAGCCTGTACAGGTACCTTCTAGGAGGTTCACCGCCTACGGAAGACTAAGCTACCTCTACGCTTGATATAGTTATCTATACCAAGCGTCTTACAACTCTACTAGCGAAGGATACGGATATCCTTGTTTGCGAAAAGGCTGTCTTGTCTTTCTTTTTCAAGACTTGTTGGATAAGATGAGATGAGTCCTACTACTAGAGGGACTATTATTTACATATTTCAAGATTGTTTCCCGGGACAAGAATTCCTTCACTCGGGGTCGTCTTCTTCTTCTTACGAGTTTACCTCGGTACGGACGGGCGACTTTCGAGAAACCGACTTGCCGATTTCGGGTTACCGACTTGGGCTTTACCGACTTCCATTCCTTAAGAGTCAAGTTACCTCTTATTTTGTACCACGTGGTACATTCAATTCTTCCTCTACTAAAGAGTCTAAGCTACTTCGCCAAAACGATACGGCCTTCGGGTGACTAGGAATCCCATGTCCGCCAAGAGACCACACTCGTTTTCTTCATCTCGAGGAGAAAAGGAGGAAAAAAAAACAATAATGGCTCATCGAGTACGTCCATACCAAGCCTTTGTCTTGTCGTGAGAAGGGATTTGTAAACCAAGATCGCTTACAGTCTATACACGAACCTGCTGCTTCTCCTCTTCCTCCTCCTCCTTATCTTCCTCGTCCTCCTCATTCTTCCGAACCTTTCCAAGACTTCGCCAGTCTCTTATACAAGACGACAAGACGACAAGACGACAAGAAAAGGGGGCAGGTTCCTCCCCATGTCAATACCATGCCTTGGAACATGCCGCCAAGTTCCTTCGCATGGCGATGAGACTTGTCCAATGAATTGATTTCCCGTCCAAGCCCTTATTCCCTTCCTTTCCTGCGGCGTACCATGGTGCCTTCACACACAAGTTCCCTACTAGTACCTATGAGGTACCTTGTAGGATTCTTCTTGTTGTTCCTCCCCTCCACCTCCGCAAACTTGGCAATCTGGGGTCAATGGGACTGAGGAACCCGATCCCCGCCGCTAAATGGAAAAAAAAAGAGGATTCACATGCCTGTCGGTACTTACTACTAACTACTCACTACTCACTACTCATTACTGACTACTGACTACTACCTAACCTTACTAGTACACCTTACCACTGACTGTGAACTTTACAGAATGCAGTCTGGCGTAGTTAGTCTTACGCACAGTCTATCCCATCACAGGGAGAATTGTGCGTGATGAAAAAAGAAACTTGTGTTCTTAGCGTTGAAAAAGAGGCACCTCATACTCATAGTGACTACCTAAGGTATAGTTCCACGTTTTTTCTTCTTCTTTCTGCCAAAACAAAATTCCCGATCCAAAGCTTTTGCCAAAGAAGACAGGTCAAGCAGGTCAGAAGTCACTCACCCAAGGTACCTTACCCTTCTCTTCCCTCCCATCTACGCATACACCCCAGGGCTGGGCACGACCTCGCCAGCACGCTCCTCCATATTAAGTTGTTTCTTGGCTATATAGAGTAGCGCTGTATGCATGTCCTTTTGAGCTACATACTTTAGCTCTGGATCGGTTATGGGAGGAGGAAAATCACAAGGTTCATTTTTTCGAATACCTAGTTTGATAACCGCGCGAATGGCGGGAATACTATGGGTCCTCTTCTTTTTTGGGGATGGGGGGGGGGTTGGTTGGTTGTTTGTTTGTTGGCGCCGGATAGGCAGAGAGAGGCAGAGAGTGATGTATGTGTGTGTGTGTATCGGTAAGAGGTAGGTCAGGTCAGGTTCAGGTTCAGGTAAGGTAAGGTAAGGTATATATAAATCTCCATCGCTTCGCTTCTCACTGTTCATCTTTTTTCCTCTTATTCTTATTCTAGAATACACCTCCTTTTTCCATCTTCTTTTTCCTCTTCATCAACAAAAAAGGAAACTACATATACTCCAATCTCTCCCACAATGGCAACAGAGAAGAAACTCGCAGATGAGAAACCATATATGGTGCAGCAAGAAGAAGTTCTATCACCCATCGAAACTCACGATGATCCAATCGACCAAGAGAAACGCAAAGCCATTGGAATCGATTACTCGGGCGCGTACGAAAAAACTGACCCCAAGGAGATTGCATTGGTGAAGAAACTTGATTGGTATATTATGCCTACGTGAGTCTATATACATCCCTTACCTACCTACCCTTTTTTGTATATTAAAATGTATCAACCAAATCAAAAGTCGAAAGAAGAAATAGCTAACAACTCCCCCCCCCCGCACAGACTCTGGCTAATGTACTGGCTCAACTACCTCGACCGCAACGCCATCGCCCTCGCCCGCCTCAGCTCCCTCGAATCCGACACCAACCTCACCGGCTCCCAATACCAAACCTGCGTCTCCATCCTCTTCGTCGGCTACATTCTCGGCCAAGTCCCCTCCAACATGCTCATCACGCGCCTGCGCCCTTCCTACTACATGTCCGCCTGCATGTTCCTCTGGGCCGTCGTCTCCGGTCTCACAGCCCTTTCGAGTAATTTTGTCGGGTTGTTTCTCACGAGATTTTTTTTGGGAGTCGTGGAAGCACCGTATTATCCCGGAGCGTTGTATATTTTGGGGATTTTTTATACGCGAAAAGAGTTGGCGACGAGGATTAGTATTTTGTATACGGGGAATATTTTGGCGACGGCGTTTGCGGGGTTGATTGCTATTGGGATTTTTAGGTTGGAGGGGTATGTTTTTTTCTTTTTTTTTTTTTTTTTTTTTTTTTTTTTTTTTTTTAA